TTTAGAGGTCGCGACGGGCCCTTAAAATTGCAAAATTCGGCTAATTTTCGCATTTTTTCATCCATTTTGGCAAATTTTCTCAGGCCTCACGGAGAGTTCTAATTGATAATTTTATTCATAAATAGGCAATATATAACCTAAAATGCATCCCATCCTCCACCTTAAGCCCCAAGCCCCTCCAACCCCCCTCCCTTACCGATCCAATATAAATACACTCTTTATAAACTACGCTATTTTGGTAGTGACCAGAAATCTAAAGTAACACTGGTCAACACGGGTTCAAATGTGATTGTCTTAGAGTAGTTTTTAATGCTGAGTCCGAAAATGACCTCCGTCATGCTGGGTCAGGTCGATTTTCCCCGGAAAAATCAGGATTTTCCTTAAAAATCGAGCTTTTCTGGTGAAAAATCAATTTTCCGGAAAATCTGTGCATGATGGAGGAAAGATAAGGTCTTTTGCGGATTAGCAGCTAAAATTACATGGGGAACCATAAATTGTATGCCTATCAAAGTTTCCGTTCTGTTCCAAATATCGAGGTTTTTCCGGACAAGTGCCCCTTTCCGCCCATGTAACGCATGTAATACCAGTCCGATTGATTTGCGTCGGAAAGGAGGGAAAATATTTTTTCTCAGGCGACTGGTGGAGTTGACTCCACTAAATAATTGCCGCTGCAGCCGAAAATGACCCTCAATTTTTTCCAAAATCTATCAATTTTTTTGAAAAATCGATTTTTCGAAAATAAATGCACTTCTTAAACTCAAAAACGTTTAAAAACATCCCCTCTTTTCGGAATCTGGATATTCCAAAGGTTCTGCAAAAAAAAACGAGAGTCATATACGGCTGCAGCGGCAATTATTTGTTTATTTATTTGTTTTTCCCCTCGTTTTTTTTCTGGTCACTACCAAAATAGCGTAGTTTATAAAGAGTGTATTTATATTGGATCGGTAAGGGAGGGGGGTTGGAGGGGCTTGGGGCTTAAGGTGGAGGATGGGATGCATTTTAGGTTATATATTGCCTATTTATGAATAAAATTATCAATTAGAACTCTCCGTGAGGCCTGAGAAAATTTGCCAAAATGGATGAAAAAATGCGAAAATTAGCCGAATTTTGCAATTTTAAGGGCCCGTCGCGACCTCTAAATGTTGACCAAATGCAAAACTGTTCTACAACGTTTGTTTTTACACTATTAGGAACGTTTTGGCGGGATCCCTTGGCATTTTCAAAATTCAACCTTCTTAATTTCTCGTATAAGCCGCACCCTACCCCCAGACTCAATTTTTTTGAGCTTTTTTTGCTAAAAAGTGTGATTAACCAATGAAGAAGCTGCATACCCACGATTTTTATTTTTTAATCAGTTAGAGCATACTTTGAAGTTTATTTACAAAAAAAAAAAGTTGGCAATATCTCGTTAGCTTCGGTTGCTACGCCCATTTTAAGAAAACTAGTTTTTAGCGTTAAAAATCAGGGCTAAAACGGCGTATCTTCGGCTCAGTTGGCCCTCCTGAGTGAGTTGGGTTCAATTGGGAATTTTTCCCTTAAAATACATACCTACTAACACGAACTAGTGTGCCAAATTTCAGCTTAAAATCTTTAAAACTGCAAAACTTATGAGGTTTTTTCAAACACGAGTTATTCCCGTTTTCTGAGTCTGGAGAGTGCATTTTTAGAGAAGGCCATAAAACTTCAAAAAAAATTTTCTCAAGAAATATTGAAGATATGAAGCTGAAAATTTGGGTTTTTTTTTATATTGACCGATAGATTAAGTAAAAAAAAAAATTCCGAGTCGAGTGGTTACAAGTCCGTTCGAATTGACATGGAATGACCCTAAAAGTTTATTTGAAAGTGCCAAAAATTAGGGTGGCCTAAAACGGCATTTGAACCGCGCTCTCGTAGGTTTCGAATGTACACGTCACGATTAATATGGTGGCGGGATGCGTAGTGGAAGAATACACGGCGGCGTCGCGTTGGCGGTGTGGTTCAGTGATCTTGTTGGTCAATTGGATGTTATGTAGGTTACTTTGTTTCAGATTCATATCCATTGTTCTTAATTCTCTAAGCTTTTCAATCAGAATGCGTTACAGATGTATGTAGGATATGATACTTTCACACAGAACTTACTTAACCTCAAACGAGAAATCATGATGTCAACAACAGCAGCGTGGCGGTATGGTGGCGGTAGTAAGCAGGTTGGCTTCGTCGCCGCCATCTTCCCGTCTATGACGCGTAGATTCGAAGATTCACGGCGGTCGGTTCAAACCAGTTCAAACACGTTTTCGAGGTTCCCTAAAAAGGGAGCGTTATATCTCCGCGGAGACAATTTTTCGTGAAATGTTAACGTGCGCATCCGTCCTCTCGTACCGAAAACTATAAGATTCGACTATTAGCAGGCAAATCCCTCCCTCATTACAAATCGTATGTGTCAACGATTTGATTGATTTTTAGGTGACTTGGCAACCACGCAAAAAGTCAATTTTTGGTTTTTAGGAACCATTTATATAAGTGATTAGGGGGAAATATTAGCTTTTTGGATACGCATTGTTTACCTCTATTTGCAAGCTCATGGTTAGGCCGAATCGCTCAATTTGGTCGAAAGCGCAGCAATTTTTTCCATTTTTTTGTCCGACTTGGCAAGCATGTAAAAAGTTGGGTCTTAAATTTTCGGAGACTCTTTTTCTGTAGAATACAAGGATATAATACTTACTTTGCCAGGGAATGTTTTTATGCCTCCGTGGAGCCCTTACTAAGGTTGAAATACACGATTTTCATCGACTTTTCAGCGATTTTGGCCAATGTTTTTGAGTGACTTGGAAACCACGCAAAATTTTGAACCTCAATTTTCAGCGGCTCTTTTCAGGGTAGAACGAGATCCCGTAAAACGAATATCTTTGTCTTTTTAAATTTTTTTTCAAGAGTCATCTCTTTCTTGCCTCTGAGAAGGTACAAAAAAGACCGTTTCTCGAAGAATGCTTTGGCAAACCTCAGCTTAATACCTTGGTGCAACTTTTCCCCCCTATACCGTTTTGAAATTCGAAAGTCGATGTTTTTTGACTCGCCCTAGTCTACACCCTCCTAGGGTGGTTGGAGGTAGGTTATCAACCTCCTGTGGTGTAGTGGTTGTAGCGCTGGCCCTATGACCAAGAGGTCCCGGGTTCGATTCCTGGCCAGATGGCCTGAGTATGATGGTCTCAGACAATGGTCACCTGGGGCTTGGGATTAGCCAATGAGGCTATTTGAAGCTCGGTGAAGAAAAAAATATAAAAAAGCTCTCTCTGAGCATCCATATCGAATCGATGCACACTGAAAGGGGTTAAGTCAGAAAACTTATGGGCCCTAGCTTCCTGCATAATCAAATAAAGCTAGAGCTCATGAGTTTTTGGAGTTATACCCTTTTAACATGCATCAAATCAATGCAGGTTGACAGGTTCCAATTTTAGAAGTATCAACAACCCATCGATTCTACAGTTTAATTTGATAGTGATTGTTTGGAGTGGCCGTTTGAAAAATGTGTCATAGGAAGTTCTTTACCTGAGCATCCTTAAAATGGTCAAATTTGCACATAACTGTGTGTCTAAGGACTTGACGGAGGATTTTCTGCAGAGAAAAACCAAGTAGACTGAGAGCTCATGAAGATTCATTTAACCGGAATAATGTAACTTTGCCCTGTACCTCATTCGAAGCGGATTTTGGTCAGGAAAAAGAAAAGATAGGTCTGGCATGGCAAACTGGTTGCACCAAAAAAGTTTTAGGTCCCTAAAAACCTCTTTCAATCTCAATGGTGTGGTTCAAAACTTACTGTTTGCGTAGAATAGAATCAGCCAATCTGTAATCTTTGTATGATTGTTCAACTCGTTCCCTCACAAATTTCCCCTGGGCAAAAAAATTCTTACCCGAATACGATCACCTCTTACTTAGACCAAATGAAGCAGATAAGATTCAAGAAAAGATCAATTTTGGAAAAATATCATTTATTAGTAGGTTGGAGCTGCATTGATAGTATATGTATAAAAAAAAAAAATGCGAAGTTAAAAAAAAAATATTTGACTCGGTGAAATAGGTCTTCATCATCGCCTAACATTGGGTCTTAGGGAAAAGTTAAACATCAAACCGCTTTTTCTTGATCCTTTTCTTGATGAATTTTTAGGATGCTGAAAGATAAAGATATTTTCCCTAGTTGTTAGATCTATCTACTAATCTAATCTATCAACTTGGGAAAATATCTTTATCTTTCAGCACCCTAAAAATTTCAACCAAGATCTGAGCGGTATCAACAATCCCCTGTTCAGGACCCTCAATAGGCGAGGTGCGAAGGAAAATTATAGCGGCCGCCGCGCCGCGGGCCAGGGAACCAGTGGACCTGAGGATGCCGGAGTTGCGAGCCGGCGAAACGCGTCCGCAATTTAACTAATTTTTACGTGCCAGTGAGTTTTACAATTTTATTTGATCAATTATCTTGTGTGGGTCTCCAAATGAATCTTGACATACCGTCATACTGACACACTGTTTTGTGGATCCACCACATCCTAAGACTCCACAGACGGTGCTCAAAAGAACTGTTCACTCAAAGAAAAATATTGATTAATTGTTTCAGAGAGGACTATCGTTGTGTCCGAATATTTTCATCAAACTCTTTCTGACCAAGGCAAACTATCCTTGGAGGATATTGTGAAGTTTATGCGACAGATTCTCTCCGCCCTTCAGTACTTGCATGAAAAAAGTATTGTCACACGGTGCTTAGCACCAGATAATATTTTGATCACTGACGATGGAGATATCAAGTTGTTCAATTTTGGATTATATTACATGACTCATGGAGGAAAAAGTGTTTCTTTTCCCATAGGGTAAGCTGATCAACCTGGGATGGCTTTTGCGCATAACACTCTTATTAAAATCATCAGTCCATTTTAATTTCCATGTGATATCATATCTGTTCAATAGCATATTGGAAAATTCATGTCCATTACTGTTTTATGATCTACAAAGTTCAACTTTCCTGATTTTAGGTCTGAATCTAAGGTCCTCAGAACATGAAAGTTTACTTTCTCACTCTTTATCTAAGGCCACATTAAATATTTTGAAATTCAGAGTGCTATTTTCTCCACAATCTTGAATTATAGCCTTACCATGAACTCTATAAAAACTTTCATTGATTTTATGGTAAAAAATACATGAGAATTGATACCTGATACTCAGTATTTGGAAAACCGCTATCTTGGATCTAAGGCAGTTTGCTTGAAAATTTATATGTTCATTGTCAATTTGATTCTTCTTGACATCAAAAAGAAGAGATCAAGTTACCCTTTCTCATCATTTCTAAGACACAGATATCATCAGGTATGCCATGTGAATTAAGCACAATGTTGCAAAACAATGGATGATCCTATTTGAACTGTAGACCTTTCTTGTCTAAACTGTTATCACCAGACCAATGCTAATGATATAGACACCAATTTTTAAAAGAATAAAAAAGAAAAGAAAGGGGGAAAAACGACGCTGTGTGCACATCATTTTGGACCCTTACTTAAATCTCTACCCAAAAGTTTTAAAAGTGTTAAAATAGTGCAATGTAGTCATTTTATATTCAACTTCATTTTTGGAAATTCCCCAGGATGAGGTTGATTTTTGCGGACAACATCATCACTTGCTTCCTAATTCAATATATGAATAAATTGAGAATGTATGGATGGTAATAATCAGTTGTATTTCTTTCAGGTCTCCAAAATACATGGCACCAGAGGTTTTCCTGCACGCACGGAGCGCCGAGTATACATCGGGTGTAAAAGTAGACATATGGTCTCTTGGAATAATTGCTGCAGAGCTGCTTCTATCAAAATCACTCTGGGATGGAGTTCAACTTACTCAGATTTTGCGTAAAGTATTATCGCTAGTCAATTGCAATGCAATTTTTGCCCGGCTAGCTCGAGAGTGCAATAAATTTGATGTCTATGAGGTAATTTACTTTCCATCCCTCTTAGAAACTAATTTAAAAGCAGAAAATGTTTATATGGAAAGATTGATCATTTCTTTCAGATTTTTTGCCTGTTGTAGTTATTGTCTCCTCTGACATTTTATATCTTGAATTTTAGAAAAATTCTTGAGCAAATCAAATGGACAGACTTAACCCCGAATATACCTAACTACGATTCATGTTGCCTAATTTTTCTAACAGAAAAATAATCAGCACAGTACCTTGAAACTCTATCCAAATTTTCCTTAGGCTGTACTGACAATGTTCCATGTCACTATGCCGTCTAACTCTCTGCTGACAAACGAATCATGAGAAGAAATCAGGCAATGTTTGATGTAGAAAAGTTTATCCGTGGTATATCTACTAAATTTCATCCATCCAGTCCGCATTTTAATTGTAAAGGTGCATGAGTTCATTATTGGATTTGATTGATAAGTTACAAACAGTATGGTAAAAAAAAAGTACACAGAAAGAGGAAAAAATATCTGCGTCGTTTCATTAAGGTAAGACAAGATGTCCACAAGAGCAGCGCGACCCATAGGTTTTTAGTTTGGATGTGCAAGTTTAGTTGCTCAATTCGTGTTTTAGTGACATTCATTCGAGGAAAAGTGAAGTTTTCAGAGAGAAGGCATCATCCTAGTGATATTTTTTGTTTCCAATTACTCACCAATTATCAATTTTTAAATTTAAATAAATATTTAAAAATAGCTCGTCCAAAAACTCTCTTCCCATTACCCACTGTCTGACAAACTCTGATCAAAAACTGTCATCCTGTGCTACAGGATATTTATCCATAATATTTTTCCCTCTAATCCTCTGCACCATGGAAAGTTTATCGAAAAACTTACTGCCTTCAATCCTCTACATGCCCCTCCCTAGGGTGTTTCTTATTTTTTAAATTTTCGAATTCGAAGGAGGGCCCGGTCGTAAAAGTTGATGTGTGAACAGATTTGAAGCCTCGTGCAAGGAAAAAAATAAAAACAATTTTTACCGGGTGCTTAAACAACTTAAGTGACTTAAGTTAAAGTTTGAGGTTTTAAGATAAATTAACACTGTCTCCCCATGGAAAACGCCGAGTTGTGAGTTGAAGGGCGAAAATTTCGTCCGTTTGGTCGTATGTGCAATACAAAAGCCGTAAAACACCCGAGAATGGCGCGCGCAACGAGAGATACTAGGAGCAAAACAGGCTCGCCATAGCGAAACGCGCGCGCGTCCTCGGCACTGCTGAAGTGACATGCCGCACCCACGCACCAAGCTTACGCGGGTCCGAAAGTTCCCGTCTGTTGCAATGTATCATTACGAATTGACCGGGATACACTTTAACATTAAAAAATAGTTAGAATATATAAATACATCAGAAAGACAAATTTTCTCAGTTAAATATTGGCTATATGCAGGGAAATCAATTTCAACAAATCAACCAATTCAAAGTTAACCAATTCAAAATTACCTAAATCAAATACTCAACAGTTTACTTAAAGGTTTAGAGTCTTAAAATGTTTATCAGACTTTATTTTATTATTTTTGTGTGGTTTCGTTGGCTTTGGCTGAGACTTGTAAGAGGTCATGAACATAATTGTCTTCAAATATAACCCAAGACATCAGTTAAATTGTATGTTCTGACGGACAGACGGATTAGGCAACCTTACATAGTGTTTCATGTTGTGAACGTAGACTCTCTCAGTGTCCGGTGAAAATCTCTCGTCAAATCATGCCAAGAGAACCAAGCTTTCATTTACATAGGTACCATAAGTGGTTGGATAACTTATGGAGCTCAACACTAGCTGATGTAAGTACTCTCGTTAATGCTGCAAAACTTCTTGAGGTCTGCGATGACCTCTAGGTCATTTTTCGGTTTCCCTCTATGACAGATGTCCGACTCAATGGAGTCAGGTGTTTGCAATTCAAGCACAGATTCCTTTGTAAAACTTCGCGAGAAACACGATGGTTTCACTAGTATCCTCTGATACAAACCCCAAAACTAAAAAAAAACTCTCAAAGCTGAGGCCATAATGAAGGAGATATCCCCGGTATCCTGAGAGTCCACCTTCGTATCAAGCCTAATGTTCTATTCAAAGGTAAGGAGCAAAGAAATTAGCAGGGTTGCCGTGTTTTTAGTTTGGAGTCCCTGGCTTTTTGGCTACCCTGTCAATGTATTTTCTCTTTTCATTAAGAGTTTTACTTGATACAGAGGTTTACTCTCAGGGTAGCGTGGGATAGCCCATTCATTAAGGCATCAACTTTAAGAGCTTTTTTTAGTTTTAGAGTTTCTTTCAGAGGAAACTGGTGAAATCATATTGTTTTTCGTAGAATTGTGCATAATAATTAGTACTTAAATAGCTAACTCCTGACACATGCAAGAGCTCCATTGTTTTCCAATGTTACCTACCCTCTTGTGCGCAGATATCACTTTAATTTTGCGTTCAGCATGATCATTAACAACTTTTATGACTTAACTACTTTTTTTACCTCAAAATATTTGGAAGTAAATAGCCATGGGGCTGGGTGAGAGTTCAGAAATGAAAATGGAAAATCCATGATTTTGAAAAAAAGTCTATAATGTTGGTTGTGGGGAGGTCTGGCATTACCGGGCACTCTTCAGCCTAGGTACACATCGAGTCGGACATGTGTCATATTGGGGCCCCGAATAATGACCTAGAGGTCATTGCAGACCTCAAGAAGTTTCGCAGCTATAACGAGAGTACTTACAGCAGCTTGTGTTGCGCTGCTTAAGTTATCGAACCACTTATGGTACCTATGTAAGTGAGAGCTTGGTGCCCTTGGCATTATTTCATGAAAGATTTTCATTGGACACTAAGAGAGTCTATTTCGCAACATGAAACATTATGTAGAGTCGCCTATTCCCAGTTAGCAAGACTGGGATCCTACTCTCATCCCACGCGTATCGCGGAGAGAAATCGGGCCCCTCGGACGCGCTTAGGAGAGGGATTCTACCTGCTCGTAGTTCCGCGCATTTCGCCGGTTGGAGAGGGTGTCCGACATACCTCCCGATACTACTCCTACACACATCCGAGAGTGGCCGCGGAGCGGCATCGCCGGCAGGTATTGAACCGGCTACCTCTTGTGGTCCAATAGAATCTGGGCTGCACCCGTGCATCCTATATATTAAAATGCAAAGTTCCGAATCTTTGGGCGTTAACTTTATAAGAACCACCGGACCGATTTGCATGATTTTTGTTTTAAATGGAAGCCTCTGATCTGTAGATTTGCAGGCTGTGATCGTTTTTACGATTTTCTCAAATTTCCTTACTTTTATCGACAAGTGAAGTTTAGCTGGGCTCAAATTTTCTCCCATGAAGTCAGACTAAAGTCCGAATTTTGGGACATTAACTTTGAGAGAACCACCGGACCGATTTGCATGTTTTTTTTTAAATGAAAGATTCTGATCTGTAGATTTGCAGGCTGTAATTGTTTTTTCGATTTTCTCAATCTTTCTTACTTTTATCGACGAGTAAAGTTTAGCTGTTTCGTCCGGCCGCTACCTGCTTGCCCGTCCCTAGGTACCCCCCCCCCCCGGTCTCAGCCACCCCTCCCGCCACGTTCTTTCGGCTATCTCCGTTTTCTTTCGTATAGCTCTCCTCCCACCAACCTCAAAGAAAGAGGTTTGGGTCGCATCGTCGTTTGTCACTCGCCACCCACATTCCTTCGTAATCCCTCGGTTGCTCCGCCTCACAGCTTCTTGATAGCCTGGCATCTTATTCTCTGCGGCTTGACCGACCCTGACTTATTAACTGCAGTATTGCGTATTGTTAACAACACGTATTGTTACAGACATTTTATTCATAATTATTAAATAGATTCAACTAATTGCTCAGATTCCAATTGAGCTACTGCACCACCATTTCTAGCTGCTCCGGGCGCCCTCCACAGCTAGTTCTCAAAATTTTCCCAAGAAATGCACAGGAAAAATCCGTTCATTTATTTTCCTTTGCAGTTAATCTTTAATTTCGGAATTTTTTCAAATTAGGAAGAGACTGATGCTGAATGTAAGAGATCTTCAAGTTAGTGTGGGCATTTACAGTTTTTTTCTTTCCAGACCTCTTCCATGCCACTGGACTCCTCCCTAATATAATAAAGATAATGTTGAAAAGAAAATAACGAATTTTTCTCAAGCATTCCTTGTGAAGAAACCATGAGTATTACAACAAATATTATCTCCCCTACAAGTAGCTGCTTGGATAACTTGGTCATCCCTGTATGTGCTTTCTTAACATTAGCTATGTTTATGCGCGCCTCTAAACCTAACTTCAATCGAAACCTGAGTTTAAAACCAAGGTTTAAATCACGGCATAAACGAGACGGAACTAACAAAATGTAGGTTTCCAAAATTTGTGTTTGAAACCTTATTTTACACTAAAGACTAGGTTTTCGCATTCCGCATAAACGGACTGGAGGCTGAATTTTGACTTCTAATGCGATTTCCAGGTGGGCGACCGGCAATATGGCGGATTTGTTATCATAACGTTCGTAAACAACTGATGCTTTTCCCACATTTTTTATTATCATAATTTTACTAATTGTTGCTTAAGCACTTTTACGTAATTCCTTAAGTCATATGTGGCTTATTTATCCTTATTTAGCTAAATGTAGAACGTTATTTTCTAGTGAAGGTGTTTAGTGTCAGATCGAATCCTGGCTCACCACTGCTTTTTCAAATTATTCTTGCAACTCTAATCAACATTTTATGACTAAAAACACGGAATGAACGGTCTTAGTAAGAGCCTTACTAGTGCATCATTTGTGGCGAACTTTTTTACTGTATCCACACGATTTGCCTAGGATTTCAAGATAAGGCACCCTGCTTCCCTTTGAGTAGTGCACCGAAGTTTTTCATTTCAATCTACCGATTAAATCTAAAATCTGATCCAATCAGAGCTGTTTAGCTCTTGAATTTGTGTGTTATCCGTGCATCTATTTCCTGGTTATCCTACTGAAAGTGTGAGACCAGCCTCAACTGTGAC